GAAAATTACTGCATTTGTGAACCTTACAGAAGAATCCTGTCCTTATCTGTAGCATAACAACTGAGAGCACTCTTAGACCTGGGAAGTCAAGATGAAACACAAAACACTTTCTCTGCTGCTCCTTCCCCATAAACTTGTGAGCACAGGTATTATTTAGCTGATAGGGCACTGTAAAAATTTAGATTGTTGTTAAATGAAGATTATATTTTTCCCCCTAGCTTCTTTCATAACAAAGATGACATTATCTTGTCCTCTGTCACCTTGTTAAGAGTAGTAAGAAATACAGTATTTTCTTATTTTTTCAGATTGAAGCACTGACAAAAGAAAAATAAAACAAAAAGGAGAAAATGAAGTAACACTGCAATAACACTTGAGTCAAGAAAGCACCCTTCTGTTTCTTTGCAAGTAACTCTACTAATAATTGTGATTCATTATTACAAATAAATCTAACTTCTTCTTTGTTATTGTATTCCTGAATTGTTTAGATGACATGCACTAGGAAAACTTTGTATAATCTTTCAACTATGTGAATGCATGTGCAAACTTTATGACTGTGAAATCAAATAAATCAATACTTAGGAAACTCAGAACAAAAGACTGAAGTTATTTCTGGTGACTTGCATTAAGCAATTTGCTATGTGCTTAGCATTGTTTATCTAAGCTAATCATGGAAGATTAACCTTTAAAAATTTATATTGCAAAGTATGTTGAGCCTATTCTTTGTTCTTAATGCTTTTAGCTCTGTAAACAGTATTTGACATTTACCAATACTAATGTCATGGACAAATGTTCCCCCATCCTGCAAATAATAAAGGTTTGAATTGTTTTCTCTTCCTTTTTTTTTTTCAGGAAGGAGTTGAAGATTGGCAGCCATGCAGTCTTTTTTCGTTTTAATGGTGAATTAAATTATGATATGACTGTAGAGATCATTAGAAATTAAAATGTTAATACTGAAAAATATTAGGCAAGCACTCAGATTTTTTCAGTGGCCACTGTTTCCTCATTTTGTTTGAACAAAGGAAAAATACTTTAAAGAATGAATATGAGAAAAAGTGGTTGTAGGGTATGTTCTGATCCTAAATCACAGGGGTACTGAATTATGTGCACTGATATGAACCTCCAATCAGTCTTAATACTTTTGCTGTGATGTCATGTATGTTTATACCTACTTCTGATCTTTGTCTTCAGGTAGTGCTGTAATATAAATATTCAATATTGCAAATGGCAAAGAAATAACAATAATTCATGATAGAGTCAGTGCTTATATTTCCAATTTTCTAGTACCTTTTTTAAACAGGAGTTGTGAGGAACAGTCAATTTTAAATCACTCTGCCAAGCTTTTTTTAATCTATGGTCTGAGCACCCCTCCTGCTCCATAAATTTCTTTGAAGAAAAGAAAAAGGCAATTAAGAAAGGAAAGTTCAAACATGTTATGCAGCAACTTTCATGCATGAAGTTATAGAGATTAAAACAATATTGGTAACCTTTGAAAAGAGAATTTATGGGACAGGCTCTGTAGCAGTGCTAATCCTTGGCAGTAATACAAAAGTGCTACAGATCTTTATTTCGTATAATACAAAAGCTTTCATTGACATTTGATGGAATTGGAATATGTTTCTTTTAGCATCACAAGACATAATACCTCAAAGTGTGTGAATTTTATTTAGATGACATATAACTTGAAATGCAGACGTGTTTCATACTCACCCATGTTTACCCTTTTATTAAAATCAAAAACTATTGTAGCCATCTGAAGAAAGTCATATATGCAATGATGCTTTGGGGACACCAAGTGAGAAGTATGAGTCATGTAAATTACCACCTCAAACTAGAATATATTTGTAGTAAGATTAAGGACATTGGGTTTTGAGACGTATGTTGCCCTTTCAGATACCTAACTCAGAAGAGCTTTCAAGGATATAATTAAGCCTTTTTTTTTTTTCTCAGTTACTGTTAAATCCAAAGTAGAAGTGGGCCAGGGCAGAAAACTGGAGTATTTTGACTCATATACAAATATTATTCACAACTAAATTCTTAGGATAAGGGAGACTACTGCAGCTTAACTTGCCATTTTGAGAATTTCTTGGAGCTTCAGGCAGATTCCTGATTTGAAAAATATATGTTAAGATACAGCATAGAAATTAGAAGTTTAATAGCTGCTTCTGTTAGGAGGTGCTGCTGCTGCTGCATCCACACAGGTTGGCAGAAAGTGCAAAACTAGGCTTCAGGTCTGCAACCAGAAGGCTGGACCAGCCTCATCTAAAGAATTTAGGTTTATTATTGGGGGGGGGGGGTAGAATGAATCCCCCTTAGCATCTCATGCAAGATTTAAAGGCTTTTATAAAGTCCAACAGATTTCTTCCATCCATTTTCTGCTGACTGTTGAAGAGCAATGGCAGATCGAAATATGTCACTTGCCTTGCTAACATCTTTTGAGTTGTTGTATCACACTAGTCAGAGTGGTCCAGAGTGGTCCACTTTTAATTTCAGCTGGTTCTTTAATCTTACTTCCTACTACCTGGTGATTTATACCTAAGCAGCTAAAAGCATAAAACAAAATACAGTATCAGTTTAAGATAGGAAACAGAGGCTAACTTAACAATGTGAGATTAAACTGCTTCTGAAAAATGTTGTATGTCACTGCAGGTTGTCTATAAACTATGTGCATACACAGAATATTCATACAAGATATATGTATACAGTAAACATATGAAACACGTGTGATGTTAAGCATTTGATCTGGTTAAGACCAATGGAAACTGAAGTTTCCAAACCCAGCACAGGAGATTTTCACAGCATCCAGTCATATGTATCTGTTTCATGGGGAAAATGTAGCCTTTCTTCCAGAGCTCCGAAAGTTTGGTTCCACATGCGTGTTCAGAAAATGAGGCTTCAAAAAGCTCTGGCTCCTTTTTCATTTACTTCCTCTTGGATCCACAATACTGGTTTTGATTCAGAACAGCTTAATACGGTTGTTTCTATTTTCTTTGTCAGTAGTCTGATACACTGTTATTACTATGAAGCAAAACATTCCAATGCAGTGTTTCTAGTAGGTCATTAATTTTATGTTGAAACAGAATAACTTTTTCCCTATTTCTCCTGACAGATATTCCGATTTTGTATTAGACCAAACTTCTACTATCTTTATTGCTGCTTAAACTTTTCTGAAACCAAAGAAAGACTATTTCCAGTCAAGCTTATAGTACATAATAAATGGAAAATAAGATTTGCATAAATATGTTATCCTCTTCCAAGGCATTAATGTGTTACCCTTTGGTTCATTGACACTATTTGTTCTTTCTCCTTTGAATTAATGGGGGAAGACTTTAGACTTACAGGCATTTTGAAATAAAATGTTGGCCTGTAGGCCATGGACTACTGAAATATTAAACATACTTCCTTGTACATTACTTACAAAATGAGGAGAAATCACACAGCTGACCACACTGCAGCTACTTAATGCTTCTGTAAATAGATCATAATAAGCATGTGGTATACATGATTGTCTGAGCTGATAAATGAAAGGGTGTGGATTGTTCAGCATCAGTGGAAGGAGGGGAACATGAAAAAAATCTTCCTGATTGCAGCTGCAAATGGTAGCAATTTTTCCTTCCTGCGTTAATGAATATAATTCATGTAATGCATAATACTTCATTCAACAGCAAAATTCTCACGTCCAGTTCACAGACATAAAGTATTTTAATTAAGAATATCAATGAGTAATGACAATCCACTTCCAGAAAAAAGAAGAAAGATGCTTCTTTGGCCATGTAGAAGGAGCTGTGATGCAAATATAATTTATCAGCGTAATAAATTCACTTTCTTAGAACTCTTTACCAAAAGAATATCCTTTAAGCCATGTTGTTATTTATTTGTCTGTTTTCCCCTTGTAACCTTCTTTACATGCAGTATTTGACTGCAAACCTGCATTTTACAGTCTCTAGTGATCAAATCACTTCATCCTCCACAAATATCACAAATTAAAAGAGCTTTCATCTTTTAAATTCCAACACAACATACACAAAGCTAAAATAATTCATTGTCTAGAGACAATAATAAATTTTAATGTGCATTTACAGAGTAAACAGCGGGCTGAAAGGGGCCAAACCAGTGGAAGTGAAGGTATGTCTTACAAAATCCACACAGTACTGAAATACAAAGTAAAAAGTGATGTTTTGCCAAAAAAAAGGAAATAAAGATGCCTATTGGTGGCATGACATACAGATATTATTAAAAACTGGCTTGAATGAGGACCAAAGTATGTCTACTCTGAAGTTATATCACACAGACTGTAAGCAATTTACAGAATTTAAGTTAGTTTTGCATATACAGGAGTTGCAAAATTAGAGAAAACACACTGAAATATAGAACACACACCAAAAAAACCAAAAAGATGTATGTATATATATATATATATATATAAACCTCCGCGCAATCATCAGGGGTTGGCCTAAGTCAGTAGTTGCCCCCAGTGAACAAGAAACAAACAAAATATAGGAAAAAACATCACAGGGTAAAAATAATAATAATAATAGAAACAAAAAGGAATCTAAAGAAAAATAGCCTAATTTGTTTTCAGAAAGGACATCCTCTAGTCTGCTTAGCTGCTTCGTAGATTGTTTTTTTTTCTCCTCCTTATTCCTCATGAAAAAAAAAAAAAGCAAAAATGAAAAACCAAAAGGCTTTTTGATAAAGTTTGTGGGGTGTCTTATTCGTGTTGATGTTTAAACCACAATGTTTTGTTTCATTGTTTGGCCTGTATTTGCTTCCAGGCTGGAACAGTTCTTTCAGTGTAGGAAACTAAATGTCATCCATAATTAATTTTGTAATACTGATAACTCACAGGCCAACCCCTGAGAAGTCAAGGATGAGGCTTCTCCTTGCCAAAAGAAAAGGAAACTAAATCTTGCTGTTACAAAATGCTTGATTACATCACACCAGTTCTCTTCAAATGAAAGATCAGTGATACACAAAAGAAAATAAGATATATCAAGAAAACATGTGGTATCCTCTTCTTTTTATAATATTTATTTATTTTATTTATTTAGTAATTTTGTTTGTACTTCCTGAAGAAGGTGCTCCTTGTGTAGAGATTTAGAGTACATTGGGTGCAGAGTGGTGGTTGGAGGTTAGGGTCAACTTTGCTGTCCGCTCCATGGATTTTACAGGCGATTTGCTCTTTGCTTTAAGAAGAGAAAGTGATATTGGAAAAAGTCAGCACTTTTAGATTAAAGCAAAGCACCCTTCACAAAGCCACAAACAAGAAGCAGGACAGAAAGTCCATGGCTTGTAGCTATCCTCGCACCTGCGGAAGAAGTTATAAGATATTCGCTCATCTTGCAGATTTCCAATGCTCCTTATAAGGCTGTTTTAAACACATACATTTATATATTTAATTAGCTTGCCAGGTTGGCTCTGGTGCCCATGAATGTCTTGGCATGCACTGCAAATAACAACACATACAAAATATTTCAGTCCCAGGGAGGTTTTTTTTTTTGTTTTGCTTTTGTTTTTTGTCTGTCTTTTAAAACATTATCCAGAAAAAACATATATACCAAGAGGAACAAACTCAAATACCTTCCACCTCAGAGTGTTCTTTACAAAATCATTTCCAGCATCACATCAGCTGCTAACAAAAATGTCATCTACAGGCTAGAATGTTTTCTTGTAAAACAGAGGAGATACTGGCAAATGGCTGTGCTATTTACAAGGGGGAAACAGATTGCTAAGGAGTTTGGACTATTGTTGAGAAATTATGTTTTCATAGATTTTTTTTTCTTTTTAGAAAGCTATGAAAACAATGGTACATATCATTATTTCTGAACCCATGACTTTATATTAAGTATGTTGTCGAAATAAAAACATTTAGAACTAAATTAATTAAACTCAAATGTTTGCACACCAAGGATATAGCTATTTAGATGTCTTACATACCAGGTCTCAGCACCTGATAACTCCCTATATCATAAAGAATTACATTCAGAATTTATACATACTACTTGAGGTGAAAACCATAAATTTAATTTGGTTACAGTATGAATAAAAGTTCAAATTATAACAGGTTAATGTATGATGAATAGATTTTATAGCTGTGTTGTATACTTGAAAAGAATGAGTGTTATTGATGGGTACAGGCATCAATTCTATAACAAAGTAATAATGGTGTTATAAGCAGTCCATAATAATGCTGGACTTTTAACAACTGGTTATGTTTTAAAAAAACTATTAAACACGTATAAGCTGTTTTTGTAAAGAATTTTATATTAAACTGAATGCAGGATTACACTGCAACCCCAATAAGCACATTTATCATCTCATCAAGAATATACACAATGAAAACAAAAAGAACTCAATGCAAATGCTCATTTTTTTTAAAGTTTTCAGATGTTTTGTACAACACTTGTACATCATTTCTCTGTATCTGCTAACAATGTTTGTAAGTGTAGCAAGAAGTATTTCTGTTCCTGTCTTTGGTAATTTTTTCCCTTCAAAAATGGGGATTAAACTAAATCCCAATTCTCTGAACACTGCTTCATTTTGCAAATACATGGTTTGAGACATTGCATACATAGTAGTTGCCATAAAAGACTCTTAAGTCTTCTGTCACATACACAAGAACTTCTAAGCAACAGTGATATTTCAATTATCCATGTGTGAACTGAATTTCTAAATGAATATTAACATTTAAATGGAAACATGTCTCAAAGACATTGCTAAGATTTTCAAATAAGTCCAAGGGACCTGTGAACTTTGTTCCTACTGAACGAAGGCAGGAGTGGGAAGCCTACTTTTCTCTTAGCCATCTGACAAGGATACCCTACCTGTCCTACACTTCAGTAGTTTGCTGGGCTTCTCAAAACACTTGTTCTGCATTAGGTCATCAGTAAATTTGTTGTAACTTCTTGCTGTGGGTTGTTCTCATACAGATAATGTTTATAATCTTGCCCCAAGGGTTGAGTTTAATTTCTGTGCTTGGTTATACTGCAGCATAGTTTTGTTCTCTGTTTTACACAAGATGTAACATTTGTCATTTGTCACATTTTTAAAAAGGCTTTTCTTTCCCTAAGTTAGCAGAACTTGGTTAGAATCCTTGTTAGAGTTAGATAATTTAATGATGTATTGAATTATTTTCACTTGGTTTATCTCATTTAAATTTTTTTTTTTTTTGATTGAACTAGAGAAATACACTGCTCAAGATAATTCCAAAGAGGTCTTTGGAGACCCATTTCCTCTGCACAAAATATGTACAACACAAATAAGGATGAACACTCAGTAGAGTCTCAAGGATATTTTTATAAGAGCTTTTTTAACTGTTAATGGCATTATAATTTGAGAATTTGAAAGCTGTAATGTCTGGAAGAGAAACAGTATGATACAAAATAGGTTTGACAAACTATTTTGCAGTGGGAAAAGCAGCACCATAACATTTGCAGGCAAAGCAAATATTTATTTTGGTTTGTCTTTTTTTTTTTTTTCAGTATGTCAATCTGTAGCTTTCCAAATTAGGGGTCATATATTGCATAAACATGAAGCCTTTTTATTTATAATGTTCAGGTTCTGCATAAATCATGACTTTCCTCCAATTCAGGGCACATGTTATAATTGCATGTTCTACAGTGACATATAGGATGAAGTGCACCCTCATCTTTTCAGTGATTCATTATGAAATATAGTTGAAGTTTAAATATATTTAGGTTTCTTTTTTTCTGGAGATATGCAAAAGAATTGTATTTTTTCTTTCATGAACCCAAGTACTTCTTCAGATTTTGTATGGGTGAAAGCTGCAAATGAAGAATAATAACATAGCAAAACAAAAAACAGCCTTTTTAGTTTTTTTTTTGCCTTTTTTGTATTCTGTCATATCTGCTCATACTCTATTATTTTGGTTTTCATCTTGATAAAGGATAAATGACCAGAAATAGGCAGAATTTTCCATTTTGACTGTGAATCTAAAACTTATAAGGTGTTTAAATGAAAGATTTAGTTTCACTATTTTTAGACTCAAATGTGAAGCAAAGTACAGATCAGAACCCAAATGTCTCAAAGCCACAAATTATCCACATTCAGACATTTCATGCATATGCGGTTTTGGTGTACATTTCTGACCCGAACTTAAACAGTATCACTGTAACAGTGAGCACAGTAATATAAGTAAAAATCTGTTGATCTGGCTGTGTATTTGCTAAATCAATTACTCATTTCCCCACCATTTCTAACATTATCTTTTAATTAACATAACGAGAACTAAAAGAAATTTTACTGCAGCTCAGTAACACTGGATTAAGCTATGTTAGCCTCAAAGACAGTAACCTGGACGAACAGCAGTAATATGTATACATATATTGTTTTTATATATGGGTCAAGGATTTTCATATTTTGACCTGTCAGCACTGGCATCCAGTTAAATGCTTCCTGTGAGGTACAAATGCCCATGTGTTGTCTTTTGTTTCCTGCCACTGACATATATCCAAAAGAGCAAATATTAATTAAATACTCAACCTTCTCCTGCAAACAAATTCCGTGTTGCCAAACATGTGATCACAAGATAAGTTTTGTGCAGCAGCATGAAAGGGTAGTTAACGATATTAAGCTCTTTGTGATTTATTCAAATACATGATTTACTTAAATGCTAGGAAAACATAGATAAAACAATAGTGATAAATAATTGTGATCTCAGTGTTTAAGATGATCATAGAATCATAGAATGGTTTGGATTGGAAGAGACCTTAAAAATCATTTTGTTCCAATCCCCCTGACATGCGCAGGGACACCTTCCACTAGACCAGGTTGCTCAAAGTGCCATCCAGCCTGGCCTTGAACACTGCGAGGGATGGGGCAGCCACAGCTCTTATGGGCAATATGTGCCAGTGCCTTACCTCCCTGATAGTGAAGATCTTTCTCCTAATGTCTAATCTAAATCTCGCCTCTTTCAGTTTAAATTCATTTCTCCTTGTGCTGTCCCTATACACGCTTATAAAAAGTCCCTCTCCAGATTACTTTTAGGCCCTGTTTTAGGTATTGGAAGACTGTCATCTAATAAAATAATTTGTCTCACAGATGTTGAACCAGATTTCATGGCTGATAGTGTCTGTACCAGATAGCTAAACATCAATTTTGTTCTGTTAATGAGATTAATTTTAGAGCATCAAAGTACAAAATAAAGCGAGAAGCTATTAGCAAAACCTAACTGATGAAAAAGCTATTCTCTGCATGCTTCTGAGCCTCAATACTTGCCTGAAAACTGCATTAATTCTTACAGTTATGCTTACAATGAGTAGTGTATATTCACATAAATAACATAATAAACCTGTGAATTCAACAACACTGCTTTAATATTTCAATAAACGTTTAAGTTTAGTGAGGGTATCCATGAGTTTCCTCTAATAAGTAAGACACTGATCACAATGGAAGACTAATGCCTAGTAAAGTCCTGGTTTTATGCTGACCAGCATAGCAGAAATACAACCAGTCACACAAAAGACTGTCCTATTTTCTCTTTATGTATCATATGATGTCAAAATAGCCTTGCATATATATGGGGGGTATATATTCTGCTTCTGCTGAATATGAGTTGATTTTGCTGTAAAACTGGTTTCTAAAAGCACAGGGGCATTGAAAGCTTTAAAATTTTATTTTTCAGGAATTTGTGCTGATATTTTCCATCTTTAATACCTGGTTTGCTATTTTGCAACACTCGGATTTGCTTTTAGAGTTAGATTTGAACTAGCCTCCTTGTCCGCCACTGCAGAAATCACATGAAATCATAATTTTGTGTTATTTCCATGTAAAGTAAGTAAAAATTAATGAAATACCTGCCTTAATTTTACTGGGTATATTAATGAACTATAAGATTTATTGGAAGATGTTTGCAGTTTTGCATCCATAAAAACAGATGAAACCAAGTATGGTTGATTTTATTTAAAGTTTGATTTGAATACTTCTTTCACAGGTCTTTCTTAAATAAATAGATTCTTCCTCTCTGGTCTCCCAAGTACTATCACTTTTATTCCTCTAAATGAAGCAATCAGTGTTTCCTATAGCTCTTCTATATTGCTGGAATATATACACACACTCAAGAAGAAAATTTCCCTTCCACAAAGGTAAGATCCCCTTTTACTTCTTCAGGGGATTGACTTGTGTAATTTAAGGTTCTATCACCTGTGTTTGATTTTGGGGAACTGAATGACAAAAGATGAGCAGTAAGTAGCATATGCAAGCCTCCTAAGGTAAGCAGTTTTGCTTAGACTTTTACTTTTTTTTTCATTGGCTGTATGGTAGTCAGCCTAAAATAGTGTGAATTGTCTT